AGTGCGTGAAGTTATGGTTTGGTTTTAAAAAAAAAAAAACATGGATCGTGTACGGTACGGACTGTGATCGTGATCGTGACCCATATAAGGTTGTTTGTGTCGGTGGCTCGAGTGTTTTTACCGGAAATAGCCGGTGACATTTCCCAAAAAAGTAGCTTCTATTTTTAAAATGACCGTAGTGTTTTTTTCTCTTTGGCCATTAGCATTAGACTCCAACAACTCCACCGACACCGACGTAATTTACATACGACTACGAGTGTGTCCTAAGATTGGAATTTACGAAAGAAAACATTTAAATGTACAGAGAGGTAATGGACAAAGGTTCTTCACATGGCTTTACAGTAATAGACCCTTCTTAGGTATCCAGAGCATGTGAAGTGCGAAACATTATACCAAGTCTAATCGTTTCAGTGTCACTGAATCATAATCTCGGGAAACACACAGAGAAGAAATTACCGAAACATCCCTCTCGAGGTGATGCAATCTGAGGATAGTAGTAAGGCAAACAACAAATCAAGCTACCGCTTGCTGAAAAAAGCAACCATGAAGAGTGCTTGGTTTTCTTTAATCTTAGTCTCTTTAATTGTTTTAACCATCATGCAAGAAACCCGAGAATAAGATGAACATCAAAGCTCGCTAAAGAGCTGACATAACATATAATAGAGGACACTACAAGCCATACTAAAGGAAACTAATCAGAAGATTTGGGAAATGACGAACAATACTACTCGAAATGGCAGTATCCAATATAAGGTCCATCGAGAAGGACCTGCAGAGACAGAGGTAAGCTGCCATGTTGAGTGAAGTTCTCCTCAAGCTCCTTGATTGATACCACACATGCATATAACTTTTACAAATTCTTCGAGATCAACAATCTCATGCTATTCTCAACTCAGTATTTGCAAAAATGCTGACAATTCAATATCCACACAGCTAATACAATATTCTTAGCCATTATTGAATTACTCAAACATCCAATCCAACACTGATGCAATGAGCAGTAAAAAGCTAAACAAATACCAGGACTGATAATACTGAAATCTAGTGTTCTGAATCTAACAATGGCTGATACCATGAGAATTCCACTCAAACTGTTAGTGAATTACTCAAACAACGGACACTGATGCAATGAGCAGTAAAAGCCTAATCAATACCGCAACCGAAGAAACTGAATTCTACTTTACCGAATCTAACAGTGGCTGACACCATGAGAAACTCTACTCCAATCGTTATTGAATTATTCAAGCATTCAACACTGATGCAATGAGCAGTGAAAGTCTAATAGACACCGCAGTTTG